CTGCACCAGGACAGCCAGCACCTCCGTCACCCGCCGTGTCCCATCCGGGTGCCACCCCTGCCCCAGGATCTCCAGAAGCTCCACGGCAGCTCCCAGGACCTTCAGAGATGTCCCCCCTCACCTGGGCGACGCGAGGATCATGAAGAGGTGCTGCATGCGGCGGGTGCTGAGCTGCCCGATAAGAGCCTGGGCGGAGGCCAGCAGGGAGGCCACGCGGGCGCTGCTCTGGCCCTGCAGCACCGCGGGCGCCAGCTGGAACTGGCTTACGGCCACGACGTCGGCCTCCTCGCCCATCTCCACCAGCCGCTGCGACAGGAACAGCTCCAGCTGCAAGGACAAGGACAGCGAGGCAGGGGATGCTCCAGGCACCAGATGGCCCCAGCCCGAGGGCATGGAGGGACGCAGGTATCAGGACTCCTGGCTCCTCTCCCAAGCTCTGACAGCCCTGGGCTGGTGCAAGCCAAGGGGACCAGGGCTCCTGGGTTGTCCCTGGAGCTCAAGGGAGTTTTGTCTCCATGTCCCAAGGCACATGGCAGAGCTGTCCCTTGCTCAGGAGGGCCGAGGGTCCAGCCGGCCACGGAGCCACGCTCACCTCCATGAGCTCATCCAAAAACTGGCTCCGGGTCTCCGGGTTCTCCAGGAGCGTCAGGGCATCGGAGCCGCAGGCAACACCCTCTGGCACTGGGGGACAAGCCAGGGTGAAGGGGGCAGGAAAGCAGTGGGGAAGGGATCCTGCAGTTGGGACAAACGTCCCCATGCCCATCGGGACTGCCACGCTCCCCTGCGGCCGCGCTCACCCTCGGTGCCAGCCTCCAGCACTGTGATCTGCGCCCCATCGCCATCACCATCTCCCCAGTCGATGCCATCATCCTGCTGCGAAAGGAGGGAGCCCTGTGAGACAGGGGTGCCTGGCCCCATGTCCCCAGCCCTGGCCCCGTGTCCCCAGCCCTGGCCCGGCTGCGTCCAGGCTGTGCAGCCGCTGGGCTCCTGCAGGCCGGGCTCCAGCGTGATCCCCCAGTCGATCTCGTCACCCTGGGCTCCCCCGTCTGCAGCGGCGCCGGCGCTGCCAGCGGTCGGCTCCAGCGTGAAGTCCCCCCAGTCGATCTAGAGAGAAGAGCAGAGACCCCGGAATAGCCCTGGCCACATCCCAGGGGCTGCAACAGCCATCCCCAACCGGGAGCCTTGGCCACTTTCTCTGCAGCTCTGGAAGATGCTGCCTCCCTGTCCCAGCTGTCCCCCAGCCACACGCTGCCCTTTGCTGCACTAACAGACACGGCAGACAGGCAGCTGCCCAGGACACACCGCATCCTCCTTCGGCGGCTCCGGCACCTCCTCCACCAGCGGCCTCTCCACCCGCACGG